TGTTACAGTCCGAGCATGGAAGCCTAAGAGTAGAATAGAGAAGGGGGTGGGGGTAGGGTTACTATGGTCTAAATGTATTTGCCAAAAAAAATCATAGATTGAAATCTAATCATCAATGTGATTAGGAGACAAGGACTTTGGAAGTGACTCTTCATTAGGGGAGAGTCTTTATGCATAGAATTAGTGTCTTTACAGAAAAGGCTAGACAAAAACCCCTTTCCTCTTGCACCAAATAGATACAGCTAGAAAACAGATAGAGATATAGCTAGAAGATCTATAAACCAGAGAGTAGGCCACCAGACACCATACCTGCCCATATTTTGATGCTTGACTTCCCAGCCTCCTTGACTATGAGAAATAAAATTTTACTGTTTTTTTTCCCAAACCCAGTATATATTATTTTGTAATAGCATCCTGGAAAGATTAAGAATCATGATCTAACATCCAGTTTGGCTCCAAAGGCCTAAAAGCAATGACTCCAATGTCCAAGGGCAGGAAAAGACAAATGTCCCAGCTGAGGCAGAAAACAAATGTGTTCTTCTTACCTTCACGTTGTATCCAAGCCCTCAACAGACTGAATGATAGCCACCTATACGAGGAAAGGTGATGATACTCAAGTTTACTGAATGAAATGTGATATCTCTGAGAAACATCTTCACAAACACAGCAAAAAGTATCTTATCAGCTACTGGGCATCCCTAGCCGGGTCAAACTGACACATAAATCATCATACCTTTATTCTTTATATAGATATGACTCAGTTTTTCCCACTCAACAGATTACTGGGAATTTAAAATCTCACTTACTTTAGATTATTCCCCTCTGCCTACACTCTTCAAAGAATCCTACAGATCACATAATAATGATAGAATGCAGAAGATCCAGGGATTGCAATGGTTCCTTTGACTCCTGTCTCATGGAAGCAGCAGGCTTTATCCCTACTGCTGGCTGAAAACTACTATCCTCTGAGCAGATCTTCCTTCTAACATAGGTTCTGACATGTAGGGCCTTGTATTCTGAATCTATAGGAATCTTTAAGTTAGCCAATCTCAAATGAGCTCAAGATTTCAGCCTATCCCAAACTCCTACATCTCAGGCCCACTTACTATAGGAAACTATTTCCTATAATCAATAGGCTTAAAACTTCATTTTTTCAAACTCTTTTCTTTACCCCTTGAAATCTAGATGTGATTTAGTTTCTGCATGCATGGGATCGATGAAGATGGAAGAGAGGTAGAGATCAACCTTTTTTTGTGTGACAACAGGATTGATGAGTGGACTCCAGCCAATCAAGGTTTCAAGTGGCCAGTTTCCACATTTATTTGAAAGTCGGTCTGAGATCTAGATATTCATAAGAGGTAGATTACAATCAAGTATTTAACTGCTGGATTCAAAATGAAATCTATCATTTTTATAACCCTAACAAATTTTATAGACTAAATTATATTTAGCATCCAGTTTTTTGTATGACAAACTCAACAACCACAAAAAAAAATACATCTATGTCAAAAGGATTTTTCCCTCACAGTTTCTTTTACATAAAAGCTGAACTCTGAATAGGTATTGATTTTGTGGAGATCTTCATGATGAAAGCTTGTTATAATAACTTGAAGCAAAAAAAATACAGACTAGCTATAGAATGCCACAGGCAACCAGTCTAAACTAAGAAAATCTGTATCATTTAAATTGGGAGGAAATAATGTCCTTTTGTACCAAGCCAATTTTTTCTTGAACATCAAAATTAGCATGTCTGCAAACCCCTCTAGGGTACCAGATAATTAGGGAACAAAATGGAGAAACAGCGCCATCTGTTGATTACATGTATTATTTGCCACAAGTGAGAATTTCAATCTTGTCAACAGTTTTTAAGGCACAAAGCTACCTGGGCACCAGTGACAGTAGACCATGACTGCGAGTCAAATGAAGTGCTAGCTGATTTTCTTTTTAATTTGCTCCTTTGTCACACATCCTATGATATAGATGTAGAGATGATAGGCTAGGTAGAAATCAGAATTGCTCACATTCTAATTCATCATTAGTGCTTCAGTCCTAAGGAGAACATGACTGAAATGTATTTACATTGTCATTTTAGAACAATACTATCACATAGAAAGGTGTGAAAGGCCGGGCACTGGTGGCTCACGCCTGTAATGCTAGCTACTGAGGAGGCTGAGCTCTGAGGATCACGGTTCAAAGCCAGCCCGGGCAGAAAAGTCCGTGAGACTCTTATCTCCAATTAACCACTAGGAAACCAGAAGTGGTGCTGTGGCTCAAGCAATAGAGCACTCACCTTGAGCTGAAGAGCTGAGGGACAGCGCCCAAGCCCAGAGTTCAATCCCCACGACCCACCAAAAAAAATAAAGGTGTGAAAGATGTATATATATATAATTACAAATAAATTACATATTTACATCAAGCTATTATATTGTTCTGACATTTTTTCCTTTTTCTTTTCTTTTTTGTCAGTTGTGGGGCCTGAACTCTGGGCTTGGGCGCTGTCCCTCAGCTCTTCAGCTCAAGGCTAGCGCTCTACCACTTGAGCCATAGTACTACTTCCGGCTTTTTCTGTTTATGTGGTGCTGAGGAATTGAACCCAGGGCCTCATGCATGCAAGGCAAGCACTCTACCACTGAGCCCCCTTCCCAGTCCTGTTCTGACAATTTCTGTCACTTCATACAAAGTATAAAAAAAATCATGGAGACCAGGCCTGATGGCCCTGTAATCCCAGCTACTCAGAAGGCAGAAATCAAGAAGATCATATTTCAAGCCTCAGGACTGGCAAGAATGAAAAATGTTAGCAAGATCCCTTCTCAACTAACAAGCTATGTATGTGGCATGCACCTGTTATCCCAACTACATTAGATGTATAGGTAGGAGGAAACACAATTCATACCAGCCTTGGAAAAAATGCAAGATTTTATAAAACAAATAAATAGAAGGAATTGGGAGCATGGCTCAGCACCTGACTAGTCCGGTACTGAATTCCTTTGGGTTCAAAGGAAGGAAGGAAGGAAGGTTTTCATATTTCCAATACTTTTCTGAGTGGAAAACAGTTCTGTTCTCAATAAGGAAGTACCTTGAAACTGAGATCTATGAGCAAGAAACCCAATCAACACAGTTTAGGAGGGGGAAAAAGTAGCTGTTTTGTTTCAGGAATCAACAAAGGTCCTAGAATACTAAAATAAATATAATTGAATCCCTGTGCTCAAAGAATTCAGCCTAGTGGGAAAGACAGTAAAGTAAAAAAGGCAGTTGAAGGGCTGGGAAGATGGCTCAGTGGTAGAGCGCTTGCCTTGCATGCATGAGGCCCTGGGTTCGATTCCTCAGCACCACATATGCAAAAAGAAAAAAGCCGGAAGTGGTGCTGTAGCTCAAGTGGTAGAGCGCTAGCCTTGAGCTGAAGAGCTGAAGGACAGTGCCCAGGCCCAGAGTTCAGGCCCCACGACTGGACCCAAAAAAAAAAGACAGTTGCAAATAATGAGTTAAGCTCTACACAGCAGAGCTACTGACTAGGCGCACAGAGAAAGGGAGGCAAAGGAGAATTCTTATACATTGAACATCTGTCAAAGAAAAGATGCCTTACATTTGCAGCTTTGTTGTTAACTGAAGGCCCTTTAGCATCTGGAATAAATGAATATGAAAATCCATAGATCTCTGGCCTGCCAAAGTCCAAAGTCTTCATTGATTCCCAGGGACCTGTAATACCAGCACTTGGAAGGTCAAGAAAACCATGGGTTTGAGGCCATCCTGGGCTACACAATGAATCCCAAGCCAGCCAGGAGTAGTGGCTCATGGCTGTAATCCCAAACAGAAAAGTTTACTATACTAGACTCCTTCTCAGCTGATAACTGAGCATGCTTCCACTTGTCATTCCAGCTACATGGAGGTTGAGAATAGGAAGATCATGGTTCCAGGCCAGCCCAGAAGATTCCATCTCAATGGAAAGAAGCTGGGTATGGTGGCATGTGCCCATATCCTAGCCACCACAGGAAGCCTAAAATAGGCAGAAAGAAGTCCAGATGTATACCTGAGTAGAAAGTGAGACCCTATTTTAAAAGTAACAGTACAAGAAAAGCTAGAAGTGTGATTTAGTGCCCATCTAGCAAGCATCACTCCCTAAAAATGATTCTTTTTTCTTTTTTTTTTTGTCAGTCGTGGGGCTTGAACTCTGGGCCTGGGCGCTGTCCCTTAGCTCTTCAGCTCAAGGCTAGCGCTCTCCACCACTTGAGCTACAGTGCCACTTCCGGTTTTCTGGTGGTTTATTGGAGATAGGAGTCTCATGGTTTCTCCTGCCCGGGCTGGCTTTGAACCGCGATCCTCAGATCTCAGCCTCCTGAGTAGCTAGGATTACAGGCGTGAACCACCAGCACCCAGCCTAAAAATGATTCTTAATGTCAAAATTACACCAGACAATATTCAAATGATGATAGTACAATGTACATTGGTGGGCATGGCTGTACTGTCTACATGTCTGAGTTCCAAGACTAGGGACTAGTATTCTGCAATGTCCAAAGCCCTCCACCTCCTGCCTTAAACTGCTGACTACTCTCAAACTGCCCTATAGCAACTATTGCACTTAGCATCTTAAGTATGTGTAATCCTGACTGCAGATAACATTCTTCACTTATGTTATAGTTTAAATTTGTTAAGTTTATTAGTTGTGTATGTCTAACATTCCTCCTCAGAGTCAAATTTCCCAAAGACAGAGAGTTACTATTTTACATTTTCATATTCAGTATCAGTGGATACTATAATAAAGGTCTATTGATCATGGAATTTCTAATAGCTGTATGATGACAGAAGCACATCTTTACTGCTTCACTATCAATATTTCAGTATATACAAGACCTGACATGTAGCTCAGGAGCGGATAATTTGCCTAGCATTTGTGAGGACTTGAGTTCAATCCCTAGCAAAAGAAGGAAGGGAGAAGGAGAGGAAAAAAATAGAAAAATTAAAGAACTCAAGCAACTATGATTATGTTATTAATTACTTTAATTAATTACTTTATTTGGTAAGAAAATGCACTATTATAGTTTAAACAATTTCAGTAATTTAAATTTAATATTTATATCAACTTTTTCAAAGAAGCAATGGGATATTCTGAAGTAATCTTTTGTTATATGGCAGTAGCTTGATTGGTTATATTCTGGAAAAAAAAAGATACATTTTCTCTTATTTGTTCAAGAAAGGGATCTGTAAGCTTTGCATAATCTCCAGAAAAATGTTTCCACTGCTTCAGCTGTGACATGGAAAGAGGTTTTAGGGAGTCAGATTTCTGATGACGTGGACCAAGCTGACAATGTCTAGAGACGGCAAAAGTTTCCAAAGAATCATCTGAAATAAGGAAAACAATAGGAAAATCCTCAGCCAACCAATGCTTTTTTATGACACTGAGTTAATGTAACGTCTTACATTTGATCACCTTAGTTTGAGTTAAAACATTCAACTTATTCATTCTTTAAACATTTTCAACTGCTAAAAAAAGACAAATTAGCTTTACTACAGTATACATCAAAATACAACTAACCTGTATGATCTTTTTCTCCTGTACACTCACAGTCAAGCAGGTCATGAGTAACACAATGTGAGCTTTCATGTAATGTGAACAAATTTTTAAGTTCCTCTACTGAAAACTGAATATGTTCAGATGTCTTTGTTAGATCTACAACTGCCCCAGAAAGACCTTGTTTACTGATTTGCCTTTGATAGATCTTTTCCTCTATCGTACCTGAAGAGAAAAAAATTCATTAGATTTCTTTTAGATCTTCATGCATTATTTTTATAGGGTAAAAATGTTTATTACAACATTAGCTAATAAAATAATATATTCCTGACAATGAGGTACAAACTAACAATTTCTTGGGGTCTTGGGAAAGAGAGCCATAACAGTACTGAAGTTTGAACTCAGGGCCTCACATCTGGTAGTCAGGAATTCTTACCACCTAAGCCATACTCACAGACCCAAAAATATTTTAGCTACAAAAAGGGTACACATATTTTGTCAAATGGAAGTATTATTACCTGTGGTTAGGAGTCTGTAAATATGAACAGGATGTTTCTGACCATCTCTCCATACTCTTGACATAGCCTAATGAAAGGAAGTAAGAATGCTGAGTATATAAGAAACTGCTAGCCCTTGTGACATAAGCAATTTGTAGGAATATGATTTAATACTGGGAATTCTGGATTTAACTAATAGTTTCAAAACATAGAGCACAGGTGGATCAAGTGTGCCCTATTTTGTATCTTTGTCTTGGGATAAAGAAAAAGAGGGATGAGCACTCATTGAGGTATTGTAAAGTCATGGTAGGAGGTGCCACACAACCAGAGTATATACGCTGTTAAAAAAAAAAAAAAAGGTGGGGGGGGGACAGCCACAGGTGCCTTACACCCATAATCCTAGCTATTTACAAAGCTCAGATCTGAGGATCACAGCTCAAAGCCAGTCTGGGCAGAAAAGTCTGTGAGACTTTTACCTCCAATTAGCCACTCAAACACTGGAAGCAGCACTGTGGCTCAAACGTAGAGTACTAGCCTTGAGCACAAAGAGGTTCAGGGACAGCACCCAGGCCCTGAGTTCAAGCCTCTCAACTGACAAAAAAAAAAAAGAAAAAAAATAGGACAGCAAGTTTAGATGGCCAGAATGCAAAGACCCAAATATAACATGGACATAGAGGGTTTATTCTACCCAGGGGTTCATTTTTACCCCTAAAAAGTCCTTAGAATATCTGCAATCAACTCAGGTACTAGTTAGATACCTGAACTTTAAGAATAATGATATTGTTCTATAAAAGGCCTCTGCCATTTCAAAGAATAATCTGGCCTACAACCAAATCTTGTGATCATCTCTAAGACCATAGAGTGACCAGTCTGGTAAAGGTTCTAATCAGTGTATGCTAACAATGATCTGGAGCAGCTTTGGAGTGAATAGTAAAGTCAGTCACACAGTGCTCTAGGCCTACAGGACTGACCCCCAACAAAACCCTGAACACTAAAACTTAGGTGAACTTCTCTGGTTGATAATACTCCATTCATTCATTAATCATCATTGTTGAGAATTAAATGTTGTCCATATAATTTATGGGGAGAGACAATTAGAAACTCTTGCCAGATCCTCCTAGTCTATACCTTGTGTACCTTTATCCTTTGCTGACTTTAACAACCTTTACAATAACTGGTATAACACTACATATTTCAAAGAACAAATTGGCCTCCAACTAACTCCTGAGATCATCTCTAAGGCCTTAGAATAATCTGCTTGGTTATTAGTTCTGTGATCATAGTTTTTTCTTAGTTCTGTGATCCTTCCAGCAAATCATTAGATCTGAACATAATCTTAATAATGCAGATACAAACCAAAGTACAAATCTGTAAGTAAAAATCTCAAAATAGACTGAAGTGTACTATATTTTGAAGAAAAACAAAGGCTTCTTCTCAATTAGTTTCCTAAATAATTTTGCATCCTGACTGCAGGCCTGTACAAATTGATCATAACATCCATAACACTTTAGAGTCCTCCTTTTACCATCATGAGCATTCCAAGGAATTAGACTCTGGAGAAAGGAGGTATGGGTTTGATTTTGCCTTGATTCTGCCTCTTATAAGTTGTAGAACTATAACAACCTATATGGGACTACTACTACCTATATTAATAGGGATATTGTAAAGGTGAAATAGATGGCAGATGGAAAGGACTTAGCAGAGTCCATGATACAAAATAAGAACTTAATGTACAACATTTATTTACATGTAATCATCATCATCTTTGTATTCCCATCCATTCAATACTGTCTATTTAATTCATAAATATGCCTACCTGGATATCAGTGGCAGGATTCCAATCAATGTCATAAAGAATTAAGTGAGATCCCCCAATAAGATTAAGTCCAACACCACCAGCTTTTGAACTTAACAAAAAAATAAAATCAGAACAGTATTTACTATTGAAGCCATCAACAATTTGCTGTCTTTGAGAGATTGGTGTTTGTCCATCAAGTCTTGCAAAAGAATATCCATGCCGCATGCATACTTCTTGTAAAATATTCAAGGTTTTTGTGTAGTTGGATACCAAAACAACCCTGTCAATCAAAAATAAAAGATTCAAGCTGGAAATGTGGTTTAGTAATAGAGTGCTTGCCTAGCTTGCATGAGGCCCTGGGTTTGATTCCTCAGTACCACATATACAGAAAAGGCTTCAAGAGGTGCTGTGGCTCAAGTGGTAGGGCACTAGCCTTGAGCAAAAGAATCTGAGAGGGGCTGGGAAGTTGGCTCAGTGGTAAGAGCGCTTGCCTTGCATGCCTGAGGCCCTGGGTTCGATTCCTCAGCACCACATAAGCAAAAAAGAAAAAAAAAGCTGGAAGTGGCGCTGTGGCTCAAGTGATAGGGCACTAGCCTTGAGCTGAAGAGCTAAGGGCCAGAGTTCAGGTCCCACAACCGGACCAAAAAAAAAAAAAATCTGAGGGACAGTGCTCAGGTCCTGAGTTCAAGCCCCAGGACTGGCAAATAAAAAATAAAAGATTCTGTATATGAAACTTTCAGGCAATATATGATTTTTTTTTGTGGTTGAAGGAATATACCACAACATTATCATTGATATTTATAAAGAATTTAACAATCAAACATAAGTACTCCTTCACATTCCATTTTAAAGGCATTTATTAAAGGTCTATAATCCTAACTACTCAGGAAGCTGAGATCTAAAAGGACCACAGTTCAAAGCCAGCCTAGGCAAGAAAAGTCCATGAGACTCTTGTCACTAATTAACCACCAAAAAGCTGGAAGTGAAGCTGTGGTTCAAGTGATAGAGCCTGGAGCAAAACTAGCACAAAGACAGAATACAGGCCAGAACCAGCATGCGCACGCACAGGGTTACAAATATAAGTTTAAGCAAATGTCTACAATCTTAAGCCCAAACTGGTTTACAATCTGATTCCATCTACATTATATATGTCCCTTTGAACATATCAAATATTTCTAATAAAACATGAGAAGAAATATTAGAAGTATTGTACTTGAGGCAATAAATAAAACAACATCGCATTAAATCTGAACAGGAGATTCCAAGAGGAGAAAGCATCTGAGCTTAAGTCATAACAAAGAAAAAAGCTCAGCAGAAGAAAGAGAAGAGATATCAGCCTACAATATGTAGGAGCAACAAGTGAAATGTAATGCAAATTACAAATTCTACCCAACAAGTAGCAGGCAAATTACAAATGTAAGTGAATGATTGGTAAGAGGCTAGGGGTTGGGAATGTGGCTTAGTGGTAGAGTGCTTGCCTAGCATGCATAAAGCCCTGGGTTTGATTCCTCAGTACCACATAAACAGAGAAGGCCAGAAGTAACTCTGTGGCTCAAGTAGTAGAGTGCTAGCCTTAAGCAAAAGAAGCTCAGGGACAGTTGCCCAGGCCCTGAGTTCAAACCCAAAGACTGGCAAGAGAGAGATAGAGACAGATACAGACCCAGAGAGAAAGGGGGGAGGTGGCTAGGAAAGGGGGTACTAGTCTTGTCCAATGTGCTAAAGAGTTTAGAAATTTGGGGAAAAAATTAAAAAGTATTCAAATAATTCTAAAGGAAAAGAGTGACATGTTTACTCATATTTTAGATAAGTAAATGAAAGCAATATTGAATATGTAATAGGGTTGAAAGCAGGAGGGAAAGAGTTTACAAGGGACTATCATAACGCAAGTCAGTAATCCTAAGAATCAAAACAAAATTTTGGTAACAGAAAAAGGAATGAATTCCTGTGATTAAAAAATAAAATCAAGGGGCTAGGAAGGTGACTGGGGCTGGGAAGGTGGCTCAGTGGTAGAGTGCTTGCCTTGCATACCCGAGGCCCTGGGTTCGATTCCTCAGCAGCACATAAGCAGAAAGAAAAAAGCCAGAAATGGCGTTGTGGCTCAAGTGGTAAAGTGCTAGTCTTGAACTGAAGAGCTGAGGAACAGCGCCAGGCCGAGTTCAGGCCCTATGACTGGACCCAAAACAATAGTAATAATAATAAAATAAAATCAAGGGGCTGGGAATGTGGCTTAGTGGTAGAGTGCTTACCTAGCATGCATGAAGCCCTGGGTTCATTTCCTCAGTACCATATAAACACAAAAAGCCATAAGTGGCACTGTGGCTCAAGTGGTAGAGTGCTAGCTTTGAGGAAAAGAAGCTTAGGGATAGTGCCCAGGCCCTGAGGTTAAGTCCCAGGACTGGTTAAAAAAAATTAACTAATTAATTAATTACAAATATTTTAATGACCAACAAGGTTAAGTAAATAAAAAAGAAAACTAACTTCCAGGGTTTTTGCCTGCATTTGATACCACAATGGGAAATGACCAGGCTTACAACTTCTGAAGCTTGAAGTACTATAAAATATCAAGACAGATCTAGATTCCCATTAAACAGAAATAAGGCTGTGGGAATGAGAAGAAAGAATTTGACTGGTGATAGATCTGAAATAATATTATATGAATGATAGTTGAGATCACCCAGGAAGGAGTTGAGAGTAGGAAGATGAAAGAAAAAAAAACTCTATAGTCTATCAATATTTAGGGAACAGTAAAAAAAAAAAAGATCCTAGAGAAGAATGAGAAACAGTTGTGGGTCATATAGCAAAAGACCACTAGGTTTTTAAATATATACATATATTTTATTTACTTTTATTTTTTCAAAGAAAAACGTACCTATTGTTTTAAGTTTACAAAAGATTGAAAGCTGATCATTCCCCCAAAGAATATCCCTTTTAATGTTTCCTTATTTAAAGGAGGGAAGAGAGGAAGAGAGCAGTAAGGAATAGTGCAAATTAAGAGTCCAAAAAGCCCACTGGTGGTTCATGCCTGTAATCCTAGCTACTCAGGAGGCAGAGATCTAAAGATCATGGTTCGAAGCCAGCCCAGGGAGGAAAGTCCTTAAAACTCTTATCTCCAACTAACCACCAAAAAACCAGGAGTAGCACTGTGGCTTAAGTAGTAGAGCACTCACCTTAAGCTGAGGAGCTCAGGAACAGCACCCAGGCCCAGAGTTTAAACCCCATGACCAAAGAGTCCAAAAGTACCACTTAGGGAAGGGAGAAGGGAACAAGAATAGTAGAGGGTAAATAATTTTGAAATGCATTTTGAAAGAGGGCAAATATGGTAGAAACTGACAGTTTATCTCTATAAAAACTAAACTAGGAAACCTGTTGAAATTGTTTCAGGAAGGGGGGAGTGGGGAAGGAGGAGAGTGACAGAAGGTATAAATGTAACAATGAAATCCCCCTCTGTATAACTAATATAAGATAATAAAAAGAAAAAAAAAGGGAAAAAAGTCTATGAGCACCTACAGACAGTTAAATTGATCTTACTTTTCGGTGGGACGAAGTTCTCGGATAACTGCTAAGAGCTTTGACAGCACCTGGAGTTTTCCTGACTCATTTTCAGTGAACAGGAGAGGGTTGTAATCAGCAGGGAACACACTTAGCAAGCCTTTGTAGAGACTCCTTTCTTCATTTTCATAACTTGTTGAGCTACTTTCTTTATCCTATTCAAATCAATAATTTTTAACATTCATGAATTCATTTTCAATAAGTAGAAAGAATACTAAAATCATAGGGGAAAAGAAGAGCAGAAAATAAGAGCTACATAAAAATTCTACAAATGTTAAGTAAATCTTTATAGGTCACCATTTTATTATTTCTTGCAAAAGGTAACATGCATTCCACGGAGTTAATTACTGAGCAATTCTAATGTAGTTTCCTAATGGCTGCTACCTTCACTCTACTACAATCCCCCTGCAATTTTATACCTCATACAACTAAAGGAGAGATGCGGAAAGGAAGAGAATGGTAGAAGAGGAAAATAAAGAGCAAATAGTGATGTAAATTCTGTACCTTGTGTGTGTGTGTGTGTGTGTGTGTGTGTCGGTCGTGGGACTTGAACTCTGGGCCTGGGCGCTGTCCCTCAGCTCTTCAGCTCAAGGATAGCGCTCTACCACTTGAGCTACAGTACCACTTCCGGTTTTCTGAGTATTTATTGGCGATAAGAGTTGCACAGACTTTCCTGCCCGGGCTGGCTTTGAACCGCGATCCTCAGATCTCAGCCTCCTGAGTAGCTAGGATTACAGGTCTGAGCCACTGGCACTCAGCTCAATTCTGTACTTTTCAAAACACTGATATTTCCTGTCATCATCAAAACTTCTTTTCCTACTTTTATTCTCTCTCCCCGTCCCCTCATCATTTTTTCTAGTGCATACATCTCCTAGGGCATATTCAAAATCAAGCACAATAGCTCATTTAATTGTATCAGTTTCTGCTCAAAGAAGTAACAATTTTACCAATGAATTAACAGAGGAATTAATCTTTACCATGTGTTTTATTTCCCCAACAGTTTTTCCAGGGAGTGTGTGTGAGGTGCTAATATTGAACCTAGGAACTCCTAGGTAGATTGCCTGGTGAATGTTAAATCAGAATACAAGGAAGATAGGTGATCTTAGTGTGTATGTCCTTAAGCAGTATCATTTAATCAATCACTTGCAAAACTGATATAAAAATCCTCATGCCTGGCTCCTACTTTCAGAGCTCTGATCAGTCAATGTATGTTGAAGCCTGGACATATATAGTATTAAAAGCTTCCCAGAACATTGTAATATATGCTACTCATTAACATTCAAAAAAATGGGTAATACCTTTATTCTGTGACAGCCTGATACATCATCTCCATCAGAGATCAGCCAGACTTTTTGTTGTTGTTGTTGTTGTTAGTCGTGGGGCTTGAACTGTGGCCTGGGCGCTGTCCTTCAGCTCTTCAGCCAAGGCAAGCACTCTACCACTTGAGGCCACAGAACCATTTCCAGTTTTCTGGTGGTTTATTGGTGATAACAGTTTCATGGACTTTCCTGCCTGGGCTGTTTTTGAACCTTGATTCTCAGATCTCAGACTCTTGATTAACTAGGATTACAGGCGTGAGCCACTGGTGCCCAGCCAGCCAGACTTTTTTTATATCAATGAATTGACACCACATAGCCCAATACCCCTTGATTATTATAATGTTACTATTATTATTATATTATTATTAATATTATAATGTTACTATTGGCTATTACATTCTGTTCACATTTCCTAAGGAGAGACTCATCACCTTGATCAAATCTGGAAAACAACCTGGTGTTAATAGGAACAAAATTATACTTACAAGCCATTGTTAAAGGCTATACGTGTACACCAGTCATTTTGGCCCTTTCATACCAATCCTTGCTATGATTTTTTTTTTGGGGGGGGTCCGGTCGTGGGGCCTGAACTCTGGGCCTGGGTGCTGTCCCTCAGCTCTTCAGCTCAAGGCTAGCACTCTACCACTTGGGTCACAGTGCCACTTCCAGCTTTTTCTGCTTATGTAGTGCTGAGGAATCAAACCCAAGGCCTCATGTATGCAAGACAAGTACTCTACCACTGAGCCACGTTCCCAGCCCCTTGTTATGATTTAAAAGAAAGGTTCTTCAGAACAAGTTTCAGACTGTTTGTGATATCCTTTGTTTGAAGCTAACAGAGTCTTCCTATTAGTAGAGGTCATAGGGCAACAGTGGGCAAACACTCTGACTCCCTTGCTACCTTTTCTAGAACGTGCAAGGATATTCTAAATTACCTGGTACATTATGGGCCATTATAAAATCTTCCTTTTAAGGAAGAATTTTTGGCTTCTATTTTTGTGGGGCTTCATAGCCAAAGGGTTTAATTTTTACCACTGTAATAGAATCTGTTTCCTTAAAAGTTGCTTAGTAAAATGTTATGATCCAACCTTTTTGTAGAGTTACACAAAGCTGACTTCTCCTATGATAAACTAAGTAAATATAAGTCACTCTAGGATAAACTTAAGGGATGGAGTGTTTTGGTAGAACATTCCATTTTCTAAGGATATAACTAATGGCTTCAGGCAGAAGACAGCACCAACAGTTTTTTGTTTACAAAGGTTATTTTGAGATAAATTTTTATTTTACCTTTTAAAGGAAAAAAAATAACAGAATGAAAATTGTCCAGAGTAAGTTAAAAATAATAGGATATTAATGATCACTGTGAATCTTCTATAACCAGGCATTCTTTTCATAATTTCTTGCCAAATTGTCACAATAACATTGTCATGAAGTTTCTATATCTTTGCTTCCCAGATAAGAAAACTAATGCTCACATAGGAACTTGAGTAGAACTCACCAACTGTTGGAGAACAAATAAATAATATAATGCAGCCTCTTCAGGAGGCTGAGATCTGATTATTATGGTTTGAAGCTTACCTCCAATTAACAACCAAGAAGCTGGAAATGAAGGTATGGCTCCAATGGACAGCATCAACTTTGAGCAAAAAAGGTAAAAAGCAGTGCCCTAGCCCTCAGTTTGAGTCTCAGTACCAGCATAATAAATAAATAAATAATATAACAAATAATTAACTGTCATCAAGCCCCAGTATCAACACAGAAAAATAATTAATTTAAATAAAATTATAGACTGACTCTGCAATCCACATTAAAAAACAAAACAACTCACTATATTAACATAAGGTAGAAGGCAGACAGTAGAAAATCAATAAATAAGGCAGACCCCCTCATTTCTTTAGGAATGTGGAACAAAAAGTAGGCTGGAGAGTATCTATAGCAGGACCACACTAGCGGGGATGCAGAGCTTTTTAAAAACCTACAAATACAACCCTATGGATTAGTATAATCTGTTTTCTTGGCCTCACAAACCAAAAAACCCTCATCTCATACGTTTAACAGTTTCATATACTACATACCTTTTTTTCTATTTTTTTAAATAAGTTTTTTATTATGAAAATACTGTACAAAGGGTTTTTTTTTTTTAATTCATACCTTCATTGAGTTGAACAGCAGGCAGGGGTGATTACACAGTTTTTTAAGCGCTCCTATACATAGAAGATGAGTACTATTTTCCAGGAATCCTTGTAAACAGAATCTGACAGCTTGAGAATTTAATAGCTTTCGATAGAGTTCAATCTGCAGTGCTGCTGGTCGGCAAAATACTACATTCTCTATTTTAGGTGGAAGATACTTATTTATAATTTCCTGGGTTCTTCTAAGTATAAAAAGTCCAGTGAGGCAAGTGAGTTCAGCTGCTCTTCTTTCTCCTAACTCTTTTTCTTCCTATGGAAAAATACCAAACTTAGTATCATACACATACATAACTTTATTATTGAAAATTTTATAATAGACCATTTATTAATTGCTTCTATCAGATTTTATCAGAAGTGAAACATGAATATGAAGATAGAAAAAACATCTGCAGTGCAGGGATTCAGCACAGTGGTACAGTCTCTGCCTCAAATGTATATGAGTCTGGGTTCAATCCTCAGCACTGAAGAGAAAGAAAAATGAAAAACCAAAGCCAACTATAATCTTTTGAAATGTTCAGTATATTATTTAAGTAAGTGAAGCCACAAATTCCTAATAATTTCCTGCTTGGTTATTGGGACCATAGAGAACATCAGAAATCAACATTTTACTAATTAAATTATTCTAAAAATCAGTTTTTTTGTGAAGACCATAATGATCATAGCCTAACAATCATCAGGAAAAAAGATGGTAGAAACTAAGGTTCTACAAAAATAAGAATTCTAAAGTCAATTTTAACTAACCAGAAATGACTAATGTTGTATATCTTTTCTAAGTTTTTTATCTCTCTAAAGATATAAGTATACTTAATGATTTATTTTTAATTATAACAAAAACAAGATAAACTTTAAAGCTTCATTCACATAAGAAACCAATCATCTGGCTCACCACTGAATTCCCCCAGACTCTTTATACAGCCTTTTGCACAATTTACAGTATTTAATATATGTGTCTTGGATCAAAAAATTAATGTGATATTATTCTTAAATAACATTATGAACATTTTCTATGCCATTAAATACTTACATGAAGTATTATATTGTACAATTCCTGGTTCATGTAAGATAATAAATGTGTTAACAAATTACCATGTTTTACAAAACTAAGATATAACATTTTTTCATATTTTATCTTCTCTAAAAAGGATGCTTTATAATTTTAATTGATACTGTGTTTTCTTCAGTGAAACATGGAAATAATATAGTCTATCTCTAGTACAAATTTGGATTCAATGAAACAGTGTCTATACAACACTTTCTATATATTTAGAAATGTTTCTTTTTCCATTAAGTTGTTTCCAACCTTTTATCATTACAGCAAAAAAATTAACAAATTATTGTTTATTTCTTTATAATAAATTCCTAAAAGTAGTATCATCAGGCCGTAAGATAAACACAATTTTAAGATATTTGATACATACTGCCCAATTTTCCTTAGGTTGTGTTAATTTACATTCCAATCAGCAGAGGATGGTATACTCATCTACATTTGCTATTACCATGCAAATTCAAACAACCAAGATTCCAACAGAAAAGTCCAAAACTTAGGATGGACATTTTGATATGTATATTGTTCACTTATAGTCTTTGTAAAGTGACTATGAATTTTAGATAAATCATGTGGTTATTTTCTAAAACAAATACCAAAATAAGAAATAAAAAGTTGTGGAGGAAATTTTCATTTAATTAAATTTAAGTATTAACCAAGCTATGAATAATTCTTACATACTGCTTTCTAGATGGATAGATTAGATAGATATAATTAAAGAGACAGCTAGATATATAGATAAAGACTAGACATGCATACACACACACACACACACACACACACTCTGGTTAAAGAGAGGGCCTCACTGTGGTATTTCCATACATGTATACAATGTAGCCTGATCAAATTCACCCTGTCATTTTCTCTCATCCCTTCTGCCCCCTACTTAGAACAATTTCAACAAGCTTCATTGTTCTATTTCCATACATGCATACAAAGTACTTCAACCATATTTTCACCCTCATTCGCCCTCTCCATTTGCCTCCCAAGGAAATATATTATACATTCTTGTCATTCTTTTTTTACATACCAATCTTTTTCAAATTATTTTTAAATTTTTATTGTTATAAAGGCGATTTTTAATTTATTTAGTAAATTATACCTCAGAAGAAGAAGGTTCTCTTGAGGTAATGATGGGTTCTTCATATATTTTCCTATAAGATAACGAGGAGCCTAATATTCCTGGATTAACAAAATTTATTAATGCAAAAAATTCTTGCAGATCATTTTGAATTGGAGTACCTAAAGAGAGATAAATGTGATAAGAAGTTCAAGGTTTTTTACTATCAAAAGTTTACAATGAAATTTGTACTCAAATCTTTTCTTTTTTGTCAATCATGGGGCTTGAACTCTGGGCCTGGGTGTTGCCCCTCAGCTCTTCAGCTCAAGGCTAGGGCTCTACCACTTGAGCCACAGTGCCACTTCCGGTTTCCTGAGTGGTTTATTGGAGGTAAGAGTCTCACGGACTTTCCTGCCTGGGCTCACTTTGAACTGCGATCCTCAGAACTCAGCTTCCTAACTAACTAGGATTGCAGGCGTGAGCCACCAGTGCCTGGCTGTATTCTCTTTTCTAAGAGCAATAAACACACACCAATTCCCTAAAACAAAGAAAGAATATCCAAGTCAAGTTTAAAATATGAACAGTAACATAACTATCTCTGGTGGTTGAGGGAAGTTCATCGAGTCTGAATGCTTAGGTTTATATCCCACCTGTGTCACCTCCTCCCTAAGGAGCCCTAAACAAGTCACTCACACCACCTTATTATCTGTAAAATAGGGAAATAAGAATAGCTCTTCCTAAACATAGCTTCCCTATGACCCAGCAATTCCACTCCTGGGCATATATCCAATTGACCATAAGCAGACCACACAAAAGCTAACAGCACAACCATTTTCACTGCAGCATTGTTTATCATAGTGAAGATATGGAATCAACCCACATGCCCCTCAGTAGACAAATGGAGTAAGAAAATGTGGTATATATACATAATGGAGTTCTATGCTTCCATCAGAAAAAATGATACTTTCCCATTTGCAAGGAAATGGAAAGACTTGAAAAAAATTATATTAAACAAAGTAAACCAGACCCAAAGAAACATAGGTTGCATGGTTTCCCTCATTTGTAATAAGAATGTGCCTATAAATCTACATGTATGGGACTAGGAAGTTGGTTCAGTGGTAGAGTGCTTGTCTTGCATGCATGAGGCCCTGGGTTCGATTCCACAGCACCACATAAGCAGAAAAAGCCGGAAGTGGCACTGTGGCTCAAGTGGTAGAGCACTAGCCTTGAGCTGAAGATCTGAGGGCCAGTGCCCAGGCCCAGAGTTCAGGCCCCACAACCAACAAAAAATAAAAATAAAAATCTACATGTAAACAATGGATAGTAAAAGACAAAAATTATACTTTGATATGATAAATTAAACAGGACTCTAAAAATCCACACAGTAAGACCAAAGAATGATATTCTTAGGAGAAGATCACAAAGGCTTAATAGCTATGTGCATATGGTCATATAAAATGATGTTTATAGAAATGAACTCACAGTTTTTTGTTTCACTTTTTGTGCTTTGTTTTCCCCCAGTGCTTGCTGTTTTTCTTTTTTTTTTTTTTGGTTGGTCGTGGGGCTTGAACTCTGGGCTTGGGCGCTATCCCTCAGCTCTTCAGCTCAAGGCCAGCACTCTACTGCTTGAGCCACAGCACCACTTCTGGTTTTCTAGTGGTTTATTTAAGAGTCTCATGGAGGGGCTGGGAAGGTGGCTCAGTGGTAGAGTGCTTGACTTGCATGCATGAGGCTCCGGGTTCAATTTCTCAGCACCACATAGGCAGAAAAAGCCGGAAGTGGAGCTGACACTCAAGTGGTAGAGCGTTAGCCTTGAGCTGAAGAGCTGAGGGACAGCGCCCAGGCCCAGAGTTCAGGCCCCACGACCAACCAAAAAAAAAAAAAAGAGTCTCATGGACTTTCCTGCTCAGGCTGGCTTTGAACCGTGATCAGATCTCAGCCTTGTGAGTAACTAGGATTACAGGCATGAGCCACAGGCACCAGGTTGTTTTTTATTTCTGTACCTTTTGTCTTATATGTAAGCTTATCTGATTTGGTGGGGTAAGGGAGGTCACAGAAATGGTGGGACAAAGGGTGAACAAATGCAGCAGTGATATTCATTAGACACTATGTTGAAAATGAACTATACACCGGGCGCCAGTAGCTCATGCCTGTAATCCTAGTTACTCAGGAGGTTGAGATCTGAGGATCAAGGTTCAAAGCCAGCCCAGGCAGGAAAGTCCCTGAGACTCTCATCTCCAATTAACCACCAGAAAACCAGAAGTGGTGCTGTGGCTCAAGTGGTAGAGCACTTGCCTTGAGCTGAAGAGCTCAGGGACAATGTCCAGCCCAGAGTTCAAGCACCAAGACCTACAAGAAAATGAACTATACAATTTGTGGGGCAAAGAGAGGTCAGGATGGAAAAAACTGGGAGAAAACAAGAAGAGGTAACACTATTCAAAAAGAAATTTGCTCATTACCTGATTTATGTAACTGTGATGTCTCTATACATCACCTTTACAAAAAAAAAAAAGAAGGGCTGGGAATGTGGCTTAGTGGTAGAGTGCTTACCTAGTATACATGAAGCCCTGGGTTTGACTCCTCAGTACCACATAGGCAGAAAAAAACAAAAGTGGTGCTGTGGCTCAATGGTAGAGTGCTAGCCTTAAGCAAAAGACGATCGGGAACAGTGCCCAGGTCCTGAGTTCAAGTCCCACGACTGGCAATAATAATAGTAATAATAACAAGAACAATAAATAAAGAGTAGCTCTTAAAGTTGTGGGAATCAAAGTAGTCAATCCACACAATGTAGTTTAAGCAATATCTGAATCTTGTACTTCTGGCCTTGAGAACTCTGAGAAAATAAGTTTACAGTTGTGTATGCTACCTAGGCTGAAGTATTTTGTTACAGCAGACCAAATGGTTGAATCTCAACCATTTTCTAGTCAATATTAACTAAATGGTTGCCATCATACTGAGCTAAATAATAGGGTGGGGGTGGAGAGGAAGGGATCTAATTTTCTCTTACATGATTCTTAATTATGAAGCACCTATCATGTAATTAAGCACCTATCATTGTATATACATACAAATATATACTTTCATAATAAGAAATATAAATCAACTTGAGAGCAAAATGTTCTGCCGTTATAGAAGTAAAGAATCGGTGAAGATGTAGCTTCAGTGGTAGAGAACTTGCCTACTAGCAAGTACATTGAAAGCACCAGAAAAACAATAAATAAAAGTAAAAAATTCATTCAGGCAATTCTTTTTCTCCTTTTCTTTTCTTTCTTTTTTTTTTTGTGAGTCCTTGGGCTTGAACTCAAGGTCTGGGTGCTGTCCCTGGGCCAATTTGTGCTCAAGACTAGAACTCTACCAATTGAGCTTCAATGCCACTTCTGGCTTTTTTTGAGTAGTTTACTGGAGAAAAGAGCATCATGGGGACTTTTCTACTTGGTCTGGCTTCAAATTGCAATCCTCATATCTCAGCCTCCTGAGCAGCTAGGATTACAGGAGTGAGCCACTGATACCCAGCATCATTCAGGCAATTCTAAGACATAAAAACCAACTGTAAGTATTCTAAACTCAACAAATTAATTGGAGTTAGTTTTGTGTGTGTGTGTATGTGTGTTTTTTTTGTCGGTTGTGGGGCCTGAACTCTGGGCCTGGGCACTGGCCCTCAGATCTTCAGCTCAAGGCTAGTGCTCTACCACTTGAGCCACAGTGCCACTTCCGGCTTTTTCTGCTTATGTGGTGCTGTGGAATCAAACCCAGGGCCTCATGCATGCAAGACAAGCACTCTACTACTGAGCCACCTCTCCAGCCCTGGAGCTAGTTTTTTACCTATATTAGCACAGCTTAGGAGGCAAAAGTGACAAAGACAGGAAAGCTAAAACAAAGACTGACCAAACAATAATATGAAGAGCAACACTAAACCAGTAAGTGAAACTATCAGAATCAATTTTCCACTGCAAATATTTTGGGGGCTGGGAAGGTGGCTCAGTGGTAGAGTGCTTGCCTTGCATGCCTGAGGCCCTGGGTTCGATTCCTCAGCACCACATAAGCAAAAAGAAAAAAGCTGGAAGTGGCGCTGTGGCTCAAGGGGTAGAGCGCTAGCCTTGAGCTGAAGAGCTGAGGGACAGCGTCCAGGCCCAGAGTTCAGGCCCCACGACCGGACCCAAAAAAATATATATATTTTTTATATTTTGTTTTGCAGTGGTGGGGATCAAATCCAGAACCTTGCCCACACCAGGAAGAGCTGTTCCATTGAGCTGCTCCCAGCCTTGTGAAGATAGTTTAATTTGAAATGATAAATGTATAGTTGCCTATAATTAATATTAATAAAACTGTATTCTTAAAGTTGCCTGACATTCACATGGAGAATCATCTTTTTATTTTTATTTTTTTATTTTTTGTCGGTCGTGGGGCTTGAACTCTGGGCCTGGGCGCTGTCCCTCAGCTCTTCAGCTCAAGGCGAGCACTCTACCACTTGAGCTACAGCGCTATTTCCAGTTTTCTGGTAGTTTATTAGAGATAGGAGTCTCACAGTCTCTCCTGTCCGGGCTGGCTTTGAACCGTGATCCTCAGATCTCAGCCTCCTCAATAGCTAGGATTACAAGCGTGAGCCACCAGCGCCCAGCTGGAATCATCTTTTTATTCCTTACCTTTTCAACAATCTCTTATTTCTGCTCTTTCTTTTTCTTCTTAATTCTAGTAACCACTGTTTTTACTTTATAGTTGTACCTTTTCTCTTTTTTTGGGGGGAAGGGGTTGGCTGTGGGGCTTGAGTGCAGGGTCTGGGTGTTGTCCCTGAGCCTCTTTGTGCTCACGGCTAGTACTCTATCACTTGAGTTATATGCCACCTCTGGCTTTTTCTAACTAGTTTATTGGAGACAAAAGTCTCACAGACTTTTTTGCCTAGGCTGGCCTCAAACCACAATCCTCAGATCCCAGCTTCCAGAGTAGCTAAGATTATAGGTGTGATCCACTGGCACATGGCAACTATTCTTAAAATAAGCAATACTGGCTGGTGCTGGGGCTCATGCCTATAATCCTAACTACTTAAAAGGCTGAGATCTGAAGATCACCGTTTGAAGCCAGCTTGTGCGGTAATGTTCTTAAAATCTACAACAAATTACCAAAAAGCTCAATAATAGAGCACCAGCCCTTAGCAAAAAAAAAGCTCAGGGACAGTACCCAATCCCTGAGTTTAAACCCCAGAACCAGAAAAAATTCTTTTTTTTTTGTTTTTTCTTCTTATTGTAAAGATACTGTACAAAGGGGTTACAGTTACACGAGCAAGGTAAAGAGTACATTTCCTATGGAGCATTGTTACCATCTCCTTTGTTTTTCCCCTACCATCCCTTTCCTCCCCACCTTCCCCACTCCTCCCTTCTCCCACCCCCACAAAGTTGTAAAGTTCCTTTTCAATATAGTGTCTTAGGGGCTGGGAAGGTGGCTCAGTGGTGGAGCACTTGCCTTGCATGCATGAGGCCCTGGGTTCGATTCCTCAGCACCACATAAGCAAAAAGAAAAAAGATGGAAGTGGCGCTGTGGCTCAAGCACCCAGGCCCAGAGTTCAGGCCCCAGGACCCAACCCAAAAAAAAAAACAAAAAAAATCAACATAGTGTCTTATACATTGTTGCAATGGGTCATCCTGTATCCTTATTTCAGCATTTTGTTATTTCCTTTCCTTTAACATACAAAAGAAACAAAAAAAAAATCACATAGTACATTATAAGTACATTAAAAACAACAGCATCTTGGGGTTCATTTAGCTTAGTATCATCTTATATGGTCATATGTACAAAGCTTTTGATCTTTTCTGCTTGTCCTAGACATATACTAGTTATTGCAGATAAGGGAAACCATGTGACCTATGTTTCTTAGGGTCTGGCTTACTTCACTTAATTTTTTTCAAGTCTTTCCATTTCCTAACAAATGGGACGGTATCATTTTTTCTGATGGAGGCATATAATTCGTGCGTGTGTGTGTGTGTGTACCACACTTTCCTGATTCATTCATCTACTGATAGGTTTTTGGTTTTTTGTCAGTCTTGGGCTTAAACTCTGGGCTTGGGCGCTGTCCCTGTGCTCTTCAGCTCAAGGCAAGCACTCTACCGCTTGAGCCACAGCACCACTTCCGGTTTTCTAGTGTTTTATTGGCGATGAAGAGTCTCACGGACTTTCCTGCCAGGGCTGGCTTTGAACCATGATCCTCAGATCTCAGCCTCCTGAGTAGCTAGGATTAAAGGCATGAGCCACCGGCACCTGGCCTGAGGGGCATTTGGATTGGTTCCATATCTTCGCTATGGTGAATAATGCTGCAATAAACATAGTTGTGCTAGTAGCTTTAGTATGGCCTTGTTTGTGATCGTGTGGATAAATGCTTAAAAGTGGGATTGCTGGGTCATAGGGGAGTGTTCCAAAGCAGAACCAGCAAAAATTCTTAAAAAAGCAATATTCAGCCCTCACTGAGTAATAAGGAGAAACAATCTCTGATTTTCTTTTATAACCCATTGCAATTAAGTCCAGATTAGTCATTATTAGTCATTTTTTCCGGTTGCTATGTGAGTCCCCGAGCACCTGAAGAGCATTCATGTCTTGGGGGGGGGGAAGTGCAGTTTGGGGATTAAGTACCCCAAAATCAATAGCTAATCAAGATATCTCAACTATAGTTTAGGGAATCAAGAGTAAGAATCCACTCAGGTACAAACAGCTAAAAGCTGTTTTTTTTTTCATTTCCCTAGTTCCTTTTATCCTTTAAAAATAGCATATATTATAGGTGTCAGTGGTTCATGCCTGTAATCATAGCTACTCAAGAGGCTAAAATCTGAACAGTGTGTGGTTTGAAATCAGCCTGGAGCAGGAAAGCCTGAGATTCTTATCTCCAATTAACCCCAAAAAAGCTGGAAGTGAAGCTGTGGCTTAAGTGGTAGAGCATTAGCCTTAAGCCAAAAAAATCAGGGACAGTGCTCAGGCCCTGAGTTCAAGCCCTAGGATCAAAAAAAAAAAAAAAGCTCACCAAGTACTTGTCAGGTAGTCCCAAGAATTTTACACAGATTAAGTCTTTTAGCTCTCACAACCACTCCATGAAGTAGATGGTATTATATTTTTTTTCCTTTTTTAAATATTATTATTATCTTTAAATAGTTATACAAAGAAGTTCCCATTCTACAAAACAGTATATGAATACAAGGTATCTGACAACATTGTCACCCATTGCTCCTAACGATGGTATTATATTTCTATTTCACCAAAAGCTGAGGCACAGAGAGGTTAAGTAACTTGCCTAAGTTGCACAGCTGTAAATATCAGACTCAGTAATCAAGCACAGGCATGTCAGTCCCATCTTCTATATTCACAATGGTATAATACATTACTTTTGGTTTTACTCCTTAAAAAATTCAAAACAAAAGCTGCAGAAAATTATATAGGGATTTGAAGATTCAGAATCCTGCCATAATTGGATTAATGCCATCCAACACTAATAGTTCTTTGGTTGTTAAGCATCAAATTACAAGTCACAGATAGACACAGAACACAAATATTCCAAAAAGTGAATACTGACCAGTTAGAATTACTCTTTTCTCACAAGAGAGGCTAAGGAGGGCTGTAGTTGTCTTAATGGCACTGTTCTTCAAACGATGCCCCTCATCACAAATTAAAAGATCAAATTTTATATTCTTAATTTGGTCCAAGGAACGAAGTAACATTTCATAACTGATGATAAGAACAGAATAAAATGGGGATTTGATGAACTCTTCAACTTTGTGGCTCTGAGGAAAAAAAGATAGTATTTTACAAACCATAGGTGGAAACTGAAATCAAACTTGAGCAGCATGTTTCTGTAGTCATTTATCAAGTATTAGAACATGTTGACTCTGTCTTAGTCATCTCAGGTTTTGATAGAAAAATAACCATACAGGGAGTAGCCTTTTAAAAAAGACATGAGCTGGGCACTGGTGGCTCACGCCTGTAATCCTAGCTACTCTGGAGGCTGAGATCTGAGGATCATGGCTCAAAGCCAGCCTGGAGAAAAAAAGAAAGAAAGAAAGAGAGACTCTTATCTCCAATAAACCACTCAGAAAACCAGGAGTGGCATTGTGGCTCAAGTGGTAGAGCATTAGCCTTGAGCTGAAGAGCTGAGGGACATTGCTCAGGACCAGAGTTGAAGCATTATAAACGATTTAAAAAAAAAAGACATGAATTTTGCACAGTTTTGGATGCCAGAAAGCCTGAATTCAGGGTACCAATGATGTAGCTAGCTTCATTATGTTTCTGATTCTATTTTGTTTCATTTCCTTCCTTGGAGCTCTCCTGAGTTTTTCTCTCTTACAGTTTATTTCCTGAGATCCAAGAAACAAAAGGCCAGATTGATGAACTCCTTCACAAATAGAAATTAAAAAAACAACAACAACAACAACAACAAAGTTACCCTGAATGGGTGACCTTGGGATAATGGACGAAAGCAATGTATCAACCAGGCTATCCCAGACCAAGACCACCTAGACAACTACTATAGAAATAGAAATCTCCATTCCTTGCCTTTGCTTCTTCTTCTTATATGATACTGAGACTACTATAAGTACTTTGAAGACAGAGCTTTAGGTCCTCAAGTCTCTGTCCTTCCCAGTGTGATCACACTGTAAAAAAATATTCCTCCCTTCATTATAGCTAGTCTCTTTGACTGGCTTTCTGGGACAGGTTACAGACCCTAGTCTGTTAGGACTCCCTGAATCCAGGGCCTTTGCCTAGCTCCAGTAATACCAATTTGGTAGATGAGAGCCCTCTTGCTGGATTTCAGGGGAGATAGTCTTGTTACATTCACACATGATGGAAAAAAAGGAAATGCGGATGTCTCTTCCCTTTCTATCAAGTGCACTAATTCTATCACAAGAATTTATGACCCCATCTAAGCCTAGGACCCAAAGGTCCTGCCACCTAAAACTATGTCATGTTTTAGGTGATTAACTTACAATATGTTTTTCTTTACAATGGTAGAAAAAGATACATAGCACTATTCTCTTTTCCCACTTCAGTATTCAAAATATGTCTAGAAATTTAGCATATTATTATAGAATAGATTATTTTACCATACTATAAGCTAATAAGCATTCTGGTCAGGTGTAAGGTAAACTAGACTCAGCTATGAGGCTTACTTAGGTTATTTGAATTAACATTAATTTTCTCCTTTTCTTCCTCTCAACAGTTTCCTAGTGGTCGAGTAGCTCAAGTAGTACAGCACCTGCCTAATATACTTAAGGTTAAATTCAAACCCAAGTGCCTCTCAAGAAATTTTACAATATAGTCGTATTCACTAGATGCTATGTTGAAAATGAATTATACAACTTGCGGGTGGGGATAGGAGGAAAAAACTGGGAGAGAGCAAAGAAAGGAGTGACGTTGTCCAAAAAGAAATGTACTCTTTGCCTGACTTACGTAACTGTAACCCTCTGTACACTACCTTTATAATAACAATAAACATTGTAAAATAAAAATCATTAACTAAGAAGCTGGTCATGGTAGCACACACATGTCATCTCAACTATGTAAGATGCATAAATAGCAGGATTTCAGTCCAGGCGAATGCAGGCAAAAAAAGTGACATCTTATTTGAAAAACGAAAGGGTAGTGGTAAAGTCCTTAGAGCGCCAGCCTAGCCGGAGTCTTCTTACAAGATGGGCCTTTAACACTCTAGGTAGTCCAGGCTGGCCTCAAACTCTGGATCATTCTCTGTAGGCATCTCAAGTGCTACCAGTACTGGAATTCACCACATCTGGCTACATTTTTCAACTTATGCTATCAAATGGTCCCATTATTCTTAAACAAACACTTACAAATTGAGAGTTAAGGCTTCAACATATGAATTTGGGTAGGATCCAAATATTTATTCCATAACAACTGAAAATCATAATGAAGCCAATATTCCATTTTTTGTACAAAGAGATTGAGGAATTATATACACTGTATCATAAAAAGCACTAAAGTATTGATTTGCATCACTAAAGATTTTTTTTTTTTGGTCGGTTGTGGGGACTGAACTCTGGTCATGGGCGCTGTCCCTCCGCTTTTCAGCTCAAAGCTAGCACTCTACCACTTGAGCCACAGTGCCACTTCCTGCTTTTTCTGTTTATGTGGTGCTGAGGAATCGAACCCAGGGCCAAGGCAAGCACTGATCCATCTTCCCAGCCCTGCTAGAGATTTTTTTTTTTTTTTTGTCGGTTGTGGGGCTTGAACTAACTCTGGGCTTGGGCACTGTCCCTCAGCTCTTCAGCTCAAGGCTAGCACTCTACTACTTGAGCCATAGCACCACTTCCGGTTTTCTAGTGGTTTATTGGAGATAAGAGTCTCACGGACTTTCCTGCCTGGGCTGGCTTTGAACCGTGATCCTCAGAGCTCAGCCTCCTGTGTAGCTAGGATTACAGGTGTGAGCCACTGGTACCTGGCTTAGAGATTTTAAAGTATGACCAAGGCTAGGCTTTTAAAAGTCTCTTACCTGATCAATAGTAAATACTTTGATCCTTTCACTTCCTAGCCATTTTTGAAATTCTTTCTTCCAATTATTCACCAAGCTTCCAGGTGTGACAATAAGTGTCTTCTTTATTACTGGCTTGCCTCCATAGGGCCCCTGACACTGTAGAGTCCAGATGAGTGAAATACACTGCAACGTTTTCCCTAAACCCATTTCATCAGCAAGAATAGCTCCATATCTGCCATTCATTCTGTTAGAAATAATTGTACTTAATCACAAATAATAAATAATAATAAACAGTAACATTTTTGCAATAACAACAAATTACTCTTCCTAGTATTATATTCTAATTTATAGATTACTTTTACAAATTTGACAATTACATCTATTACATATTATTAACTAATATATATTATATATATCTGAAATTAAAGAGTTGAATATTATCTATTACTGCTATATGTCCATATTTGGTAACAAGAATACAATCATTATAGCTGTATTTGCACAATTTAACTATAACTCTATTTCTCATCACTAACAGTTGAACAATTTTTACCAGTCTCAGTATTAGATATCAAAACAGTTCAAAATATATAACTTTAATCAGTAAGACCTATTGAACTACATTTATTTAGAATATTCTAAAATACTTATTTAAAATATGAAGAATTTATGTATCTCTGGCAGATTATGAAGTTCTCAACCAAAATAGCTTCCTAGATTATAATTTTTAAACCTACTGAATACTTGTTCTAATCCACATAGTAAAACTGTTATTATACAATCTCTTAATGCAATTTAAAATTGTTATTAACATTATTAAGATATTTTAAAGCCCTTAGATATAAACATATATATATTAAAAGCTTAGAGAGCCCAAAGGAATTAGATATTCTCATAAATATAATTATAGTTTGTTAGTTATCAATTCCTTAATAATTAATAGAAAAAGAACCATATACTTTTTTTTGTGAGGCTTAAAGTCTGGGCCTGGGCGCTGTCCCTCAGCTCTTCAGCTCAAGGCAAGCACTCTACCACTTGAACCACAGTGCCACTTCCAGTTTGCTGGTGGTTAATTGGAGATATGAGTCTCAAGGACTTTTCTGCCCAGGCTTGGCTTTGAACCACGATCCTCAGATCACAGCCTCCTGAGTAAGTAGAATTACAGGCATGAGCCACCAGTGCCCATCTATAAATTTTTATTTCGAGATACAGAGAAAAAGTTGTCAATAGGGATCATAGCCACTACTATTGTTTTAGATAAACAATTGACCAATACAGACAAATGTCAGTCAAATTTTGTATATGACTAGTAGAAAAAATAGAAATGTATCTTTTCATGGAAAGAGGAAAATGATCAGGCAAGCTACATAGAGAAGCACCTTGTGCAAAACTTTAAAAGATAAAGAGTCTCTGATTGGGCAGTTTAATATAATTAAGAGCTTGAACTCAATGAGGTTCAAGGGAGAAATACAAATATATAAAACTGGCAAGAAGGCAGAAGACAAAAGACTGGGCTATCTTGAAGGTTTAGGCTCTATCTCACATATCTGAATCTCCCAAAAGAGCAGTCTTTCTAAAGAAATATACTCTTTATCTGACTTATGTAACTGTAATCACTCTGTACATCATCAGTAAAATTAATTAATTTTAAAAAAGAAAAAACAATGTGTGCTTGAAAAAAATCATCTTAAGTGAAGTAAGTCAGGCCCAAAGAGTCAAAGGTCAAATGTTTTCTTTCATATGTGTTCTCTCATATGTGGAAGCTATAACTAATTTATAATGTACTAGTAAATACTTCAGGGATATATGCAAGTATACACAATGTATTAACCAAAATGCTGTATTTTCAGGCCAAGAATTCAGATGGTGTAGTTTTTTTTAGAAAAGCTAACTCACAGTTAAACAAAATGAATACCAGGAAATAGATATTGAAAAATGGGGAATGGGACACCAGGGAGAGGGAAGAATATAGTCGGTCCTATGTGTGGACTATGAGAAATGTCTCTAGTAGGCAGCTTGCAGTTGCTTACAGTAGGACATTATCAGTGTGTGAAGAAACTGTGGGGGCCAAGGAGTTATAGGCATCCTGACCTGTTATCACTAGCTCTTTGATACCCAGTTCAAGCCCCATGACTGGCATATACAAAAAAATTAAAAACCAAATCTTGGCTGCACATAACATAAAATAACTACATTTCTTTTTATTTCCTCCTTTCCCCATCTTTTCCTTTTTTGTGCTGGTCCTGGGACTTGAACTCAGGGCCTGGTACTATCCCTGAGCTTTTGTGTTCAAGGCTAGTACTCTACCACTTGAGTCACCATAGCTCCACTCCCAGCTTTTAGAGTTTAATTGGAGATAAGAGTCTCATGAACTTGGCTGTCCACACTGGTTTTGAACTGTGATCATCAGATGTCAGCCTCCTGAGTAGCTAGGATTACAGGTATGAGCCACTGGCACCCAGCCCTTTTTTTTTTTACACTGTAGTAGAACCAGGGCTTGAACTTAGAACCTTGAACCCTAGGCTCAGCTTTTTCTATTCATGGCTGGCACTTTACCACTTGAGCCACACCTCCAGTCCACACTACTGTGTTTCTAGAGATATAACTTCCTAGGACCACTGTAGTGGGATGGCAGAAAAGCACTGGAATTAAATAATATCTAAAAGATTTAAATAATTGGGCTGGGAATGTGGCTTAGTGGTAGAGTACTTGCCTAGCATGCTTGAAGCCCTGGGATTGATTCCTCAATACCACATAAACAGAAAAAGCCAGAAATGGTGCTGTGGCTCAAGTGGTAGAGTGCTACCTTGAGCAAAAGCAGCTCAGGACAGTGCCTAGGCCATAAGTTCAAGCCCAAGACGGGACCCTTGCCCAGGGCAGGGCAGGAAGGCAGGCTCAGGTTAGATTAGAACAGAAGAAATAAAAAAATAATTCCCGGGGCTGGGAAGGTGGCTCAGTGGTAGAGTGCTTGCCTTGCAGGCACAAGGCCCTGGGTTCGATTCCTTAGCACCACATAAGCAGAAAAAGCTAGAAGTGGTGTTGTCGCTCAAGTGGTAGAGTGCTAGCCTTGATCTGAAGAGCTGAGGGACAGTGCCCAGGCCCGGAGTTTAGGCTCCATGACCAACAAAAGAAAAAAAGAAAAAAATAGTAATTCCCAAACCTATTGAGATAAGATAGTCAAGGGAACAATAGATTTGGGAGAGAATGTGAACCTAGTTAAAAGTTTCAGGCACTAGGCGTGGTGGCACATGATTATAATCCCAACATTCTATACTATTTTACTTTTCTTTTCCTTTTCTTTTTTTTTGTTAAAACAATTTAAAAGGTGATTTTTTTAAGTAGAGGTAAGAGATTATTTTTAATTCTCATAAGCAAAATTAAAAGCTTCTTCCATCTGCTCACATAACCTATTATCATGCTAAAAACAAGCTTTCATTATATCACATTAAGATTTACAGTATTTATGTTCATTTGAGTAATTTTATAAGCTATTTAAAGCCCATGAGAGCAATGGTCCTAACTCTGTACACCCACTTCCTAGCAAGTTATCTGGCACATGGTATCCTTAGAGGAGCCATTTGTTTTGCCAGTACTAAGGTTTGAATTCAGCACCTTGCATTTGCTAGGAAATTAGTCTAACATGCCAGTCACAACTCCATTTTCTTTTTTTTTTTTTAATTTTTGGGTCTGGTTGTGGTGCCTGAACTCTGGGCCTGTGTGCTGTCCCTCAGCTCTTCAGCTCAAGGCTAGCACTCTACCACTTGAGCCACAGCACCACTTCTGGCTTTTTTCTTTTTGCTTAT